TCCTTCTTGTAAGAATAAATACTCCCTTTCTTGCTTTAGTATTCTGGATTCTGCTAACAACTCAATTGATTTAAAACTCAAAGAAGCTTTTTATATAAATAATATCTAACCTGAACTTAACAAACAATTACAGCATTATAACACTTTTCTAGCGTTTTAGTTGACACCTTTGATGTTTGGTGTCACGTTGTAATTAGTACCCGCTTTTGTATTACATCATACTGTAAATATTTTATTCATCTATGTTAAGGATAAGTTGAGAAAACGGACACCACCCCTCCCCTCCCCATTTAAACGTATTTGTCACGAGTTGCCATGGCAAAAAGAATAATTATACGCACGAGGTTCGTTTTGGTCCGCCATATTGCTTGGATGTTTGCTTTCAATGTAAATGATTTCGACCTCTCCTTCCGCGGCCGGTAACATTTGGGGGCCTGTCCGGGAGTTAACTAAACGTAAAAGTCGAAGCAACATGTTTACGTAATGGTCGGCGGATTGGAGTGAAAGAAGTCGCAGGGCGAAAGTAAATCGATCGAAAGAAACAAGCCCCAGTAGGAACATAAAGAATGGAAATTGAGGATGTCCAGATGCAGATACAGAGTTATCTCTGCCAGTTAAGAGTTAAGGACCTGGAGGAGATGGCTAAAACTGTGGGATGCAGTGAAGAGGACACGAAGGAAAAGAACAGAAAGGGACTTGTAAGGCTGATCGAAGAACAGCTCGAGGGCACCTTGAAAGGCACAAAGGCAGCTAAAATGAAACACCTGGAGGAATTTAAGTTACAAATAATGGAATACACGCCTGTTTGCCCTCCTTTGGAAGTAGTTGACGAGGAAACGAAGCCTAGAATTTCTCAACCGCTGCTTGGAGAGGGTAAGCCTAAATTTGAAGTTTCAAAACTCAGAGTTTCCTCATCAGGGCCCCAGTTACCAGGCAGAAGATCCTGTTTGCTTCAAAGGAGGCAGACACACAATTAAAGTATGACCCAGCATTGGTGCAGGGTATCTTTCTCCACGCAGTGGACACTGGTCTTCAGGATGAAGCCATCCGGACCAGATTGAGGCCATCCCTCCAAAACCCAAATGTACAGGATGAAGATCTTATTCAGAAAATGAACGAAATTGTTTTGGAAGAAACTGAGAGAAAGTCAAAATTAGGATCTTCTACTCGCCAACGACGAGTAGAAGACAGAGGCAAACATTCTGAGCTGAACTGCCCGCTCGGTTTGGCCGCTGGGTCTACGCCAACCACAGAAATTCTCTTCAAATAGCGCTCTCGGACGTGGCTTTCGAGGTTATCTGCGTACGTAGGATGAAAGTGCTGGTACCTCATCGTGTGATTTTGGGTCGCTTTCTTCGGAAATATCCATTAAAAAGATGAATTATTTGAAGACTTTGAAGGCGAGCGCTTAGAAATGGCATAGATTTCCCTACAATTTCACACCTCGCATGGGCACCAACATGGCGGAAACCTAATTTGCATGAGCTAATGACGTCAGCTGAAAACTGAGAATAGTTTCATGCGCTCAAGAGTGTGTATAATAAAAGAATTATTAGATTCGGTTTTAGCATGATAGCAATAATTATCAACGCCTCAGTTTGGGTTATCTGCCCTAGCCCTTGGCTCTGGCAGATAACACAAAACTTTGGCCTTGATTATAATCGCTATCATGCGAAAACTGAATTGAGTAAATATTAATTAGCACAACCGAGGTCTGAGTTATCTGCCGATACCGAATGTTGAGGCAGAGTCGGATACACGAGGTATTTTGCGAAAACCGACTTGAAAAATTATTTTATTACACATTTTTTGAACAATCTGCATAAGAAGACACCTCTCTCAGAGTTGGCAAAAGATAGAGAACACTGCACCGACGAGGGGCTTGGAAACTGGGCAGACTTTGAACTGGACATGAAAACCCATTAAATGCTGCAGATATCAGGTTATCATGTCAACTTCACACACTATTTTACACAGTTCGAATTCTCCCGACCAATCAGATTTTTCATAGTAAGTTTGTTGCCTAAAAATATATAATTGAAGAATGTCTAAAAGTGCTAATCATCACAAGACAAGACACATACAATACAATACAATACAATACATAGCTTATATAGCGCAACACTTCTCAAAGATCCAGCGGCGCTTTACAATGATAGTGATAGAAAAATATAATCAATTAAGAATTAAAGTGAATTAAAAAACTAGTGAAAAATCAATGAGAGCAAAAACTACAACTGCCTAAATAAATGCGTTTTAAGTTTAGACTTGAATGTTGTCTAAAGGTCCACTTGCCTAATATCATCCGGCAAGGCGTTCCACAGAGTAGGAGCTCTATGAGAGAACGCTCTACATCCATATGTTTTAAGATTGCATTTAGGTACCATTAAGAGTTTTTTCTTAGAAGATCTTAGGTTTCTATTGGGGGAAACAGTCCGAAGTGGTGATCCTTTGAAAATGACACATCGTAAATGCGTTCCAAGCCTCACGCGGCTTACTTCCGCAGTCCAAACGAGCACCACTTGTCTCCCCTGAGTTTTCCGACTTCCCCTCTTCAAGGCACCCACGCTGCTCTTACTAATGGCCTTTCAACATTAGCAATTCTAATGACAGGAACATGATGAACAAAAAAAAACGAATTACTTAAAGAATTGAGCGGTTTTGTTGGTTAGATAACCGCAAAAAATAATTAATTTCAAAGACTTTTCGTGGAAACGTAGTGATAGTAAGAAAAATTTTGAAAGTAATCTATAAATAGCGCAGCTTTGTGCGGGTGTCATTGAATTTCAATCCCTAAATGACAAGAACAAATCGGTACAGCCTATGTTACTTAGCGACAAACAAATAAACTTCCTGCATATTTTCCGCGTCTTTTGACGATAACCTTACTAACAAACATTTCAGCAGCCAGCACGTCATGAGGTGAGTTATTCCACTGTTGCTTGAATCTTTCATCGTTCTTAAAACTTGGGAAATTGCTCTAAAACAGGTGGCGATCCAGGAAGGTGTGATTTCTCGTATGAGAAACAACACCGCGGGCTTCGTGAAGATCATTATTTGGGTGTTACTGTTTCGCAGCCTCGAAAACTCTCGAATTTTGCTTTCATTCTTCGCAACTGTCCGATTGTTATAAATTACAGGAAGTAGTGGTAAGTCCTGTCGGAAAATTAGTATTGTTAAAAAACAGAGTACGTGTATATTTGAATACCACACGTGGTAAGTGGGACGAAGAGATAAATGAATTTCAATTTATGCGATTTGCGATTGGAAATCTTTCAGCCCGAACTGCCTTTGTTAGAAAGCAAAGATGAAAGATTTTAGAGCTCGATCACCTTTATGACTTAATGTTTGACCATTAGACGCAATTGCAAGGCTCTCAGGATATCGATTCCTGAACAGGAACGACAAGAAATGTAATGCAATATTGGATGCTGTTTTGAAATGCAGGACCTCAATTAGTGTCACACGTTGTGCGTATAATATAACTGTAAACATTATGCACAAATTCCACTTCCATGAATCGACTATGAAAAAAAATTGTTTGATTTTTCGAGATAAACTGAGGGCGGTCATTCGAGCTTTAAATTTTCTCCGCACTATTGTCGCTGCCTGCTATTGACTGAGTAACGAGCTTTTCAGCGGACCATAGTCGGCGATCGACTGCCAAATGGTGAGTGATTATAACTGGTTTAAACGGAAAAACTAAGAATAAAAAATCTGAAAAGGAGACAGAATAATTGTGTAGAAGATAGGTAATATTTCGTTAAACTTTGCTCAGGGCCATTTCCAAGGTACGATATTTCATCGTATACATTGTGATGAAGTGTCGAAAGTGCATGCCATCGTCATGACGTTCACTTGCAACGACTGGCTTCACTCAAAATTGATCTATTTGGCTGATTCAGTTTATTTGAAGCCCCTTGCGCGATTAAAATCGATATTTTCGGCTGACTTGAATCAAAGTTTATGGAATGAACTAGTGCGAACTATTTCTGTCTCGACTAGACTAATTTAAGAAATGCGGAAACTTTCGAAACGAAAGGAAGATCTTGTAGTGCACACAAGCGAAGGCGATGAAGTGTCTGGCTTCATTGAATAAAACAATAACTAAAACACAAAAAAGACAAGAAAGGAAAGAGGCAGTATTGAGTGCCTAGTCCATAATTTCTCCTTAGAATATCACCTCTGAATCAAATATTAAGGTCACGAGGCTAAATGAGGCGATCACCAACTGACGAAGGTCTTGATTGTTAAACAAATTCTCCTTGCCAGCACTTAAGGAAATGTATTAGTAACAGTATGGAGAGTATGCATACTGATGTTAGGTAATGAAAAGGTCAACCACACCTTGCCACTCCTCTTCAAAACTGAAAACATTGATTTCTTGGAACGCTTAGAAACAAATTACACCTTAATTTTATTTTTAACCCTTAGGAACAAAATAGCAGTTCTCCCTAGTAACTTCGTAACATTTGACAGTCAATATGTAAAGAGAATTTAGTGTGACGTCCAGATTCAAACACACAACAACTTGTAAATCTGTTTATTCTCATAACCTATCGGCTAGGTAACTTACTCATATTGTAAGGAGAAGCTTCATGTCGATCAATTCAGAGATTTTAGGAGGTAAAACCGCAAAAATACTCTTAAAATGTTTTAGAAATGTATACACTGTGTTTAGGTAAATTAGGGGACGAGATACCAACCACATGCAACGAAGATAATGACCATGTGCGATTTTTTTTGTTTTGTTTTGATTTTTGTTTTGTTTTTTTTTAATGACTTTATTGCGATTGGTTTGTAAGCGGTTGACCTGGTCACGGTTGTCTGAGTTTTTCCGCAAATAAAGAGGCTGCGTGGTTTCAGGCAATAGACCGCAATTTCTAACGGGTTTTCAGAGTAATAACCCACGCATGATGTTTGGGAGGCCGGGAACACGAGAAAAGTTTGTAAATCACGCGCTAGAGGCGAGTGATCGACGAACTTTTCGAGTGTTGTCCCAGCATTACGCCCGTAAACCTATAAAAACCTGGGTGCATGTAGTATTTCAGTTATTTTATAACGTCTATTATAATCCTAAACTAGGAACTGGCTGTAAAGTAGAGCGTATTGAAAAATTATTTAAATAGTCAGTGGTACGCGCTTTTACGGTTAGCAAGAATCCACGCATGTACAATAATTTCAATTTCAGGATAGCGCCTAGCGATTTAATATTTCTGATCAAGTCTCAATAGCCCGTTTCCGAATTACCCTTGGCCTCATTTTCAAAACGAGTCGTTCTGCTCATCCTTTAGTTTTCATTAACATGCAAATTAAACTCATTTTCACAAGAATGGTTGAGCACCAGCCCATATTTTACTGCAAAATTTAGTCAAAGGGTGTATATAAAATTGAGTTTTGCTACCCTACAGATAAAACCCTGTTTTAATTAAGTATTTGTTGTTATTGTTGTTGTTTTTGAGCTTTCCGGTCAAACGGAGGTAAGTGGGAGGCTAGCGTAAGGAGCGAGACAGGCGCGAAAAAAATAACATTAACAATTTTAACTGCGTGACCATAGTTAACTAACTAACTTACTAACGATGGCGTGACCAAACGTGACTGCTCAACCACGTGACGGTGCTTTTTTTTGTTTACCTTAGCGTCGCTATCCACTGAAATGTTCGCAGATAAAGTTTATGTCTTCAAACGCATTTTGGCGAGGGTTCAACTGTAAATTTCCTTTACCTGTGAGACCTATAAACAAAGAGATGAGACACATTCGCTACCAATCGAAGTATTGAAGACAATTTACAGATGGTAAGTAAATTTTTACTCGAATTCTGCGATGCTGGTTTTCTTTTGAAGAATTAGGCCATGATCAGAGAAACTCATAAATCATTTGCTTTGCGAGATTCGTTTAGGGTTTGCTTTTCAAAATGTGATGTACTACACTATACTTCGCTAATTTTAAGCAGTATTGAAAGTCTTCGACGTTTCATTTCGCAATAAGAGTCAGTGAGTTGTCGGAAGGTACTCGAAATATTGTCTGGCAGTCTCTAATCGAAAATCTAGGCGCCATCTTAGTAGTGTCGTCATCGAGAGCTTAGTCAGCGCTTTTCGTAAACATTTACATCCTGAAAAAGAGATTAAACGTTTCGATCGAGGTCGTGAATTTCACTGCGAAGCTAGGTCTACAAAGATCCCTAAAAGCCTTATCTCATAAAATTTTAAAAATTGCAAGGTAATGCATCGACAAACAGCTAGTTAATATTCAACTGTGGCAACTAAATAACCGGGGACATTTATATTTCAGATAATATTCCGCATAGCGATCCATTCACTGAAAGAGTCCAATTGATTCGAAACCATTCACGACCTTCAATATTAAGATTCCATGGATGGTATACTCTCAAAAAAAAATTATGATTTTATCCAAATGCGATTATTGTTTATCAGCTGTGCACAAACTCTTATTTTGTCTTGTGTGTATTCCGTTTTGTTGTGTTGTGTTTTGTGTAGGTTTGGTTTGATTTGATTTTGTTTGTTTTGTTTTCGCTACACAATTTTCACGGGAAATTTTTAAATGTATATGTGCTGAAAGCGGGGGTGTCTGACAATATTTGTCGTATTTTTATCATATATGGCAATTTAGGAAATTACTAGCCCGTTTCTTGTTACGCTTCGCATCGGAAGCATAAGTTGCCGACCAGCTGGGGCTATAAAACTGACCATGTAAGGAAATTTTTACACAACCTTTGATTCCTCTGAGAACTCTCACAAATACAACATTTGAGATATAAATAGATATGTAAAAGTTTTCGAAGTAGACCTGGAAGTAGCTGCTAAAAGGTTCACTTAAACTAGCATTTATGAATCAGTGTTGTAACCCCAGGGAAGGCCTTGGGCGCGATCCATTCAACCAAAATTTCCAGACCAAGCGGACCGGTCCAACCGAGAAAAGTGATCCACCTCAAAAGGTGGGCCAGTTTTTTCGAAACTTTCCCGGTTGGACCGAACCGATCCATTCAGTTCACGTTTTAGACCGAAATTTCCGGAAATTCTGGTTGAATGGATCGCGCCCCTTGATTCCACGGGCATCTAAGGAGTGATTAGATGAAAACCATACTCGCACATGTGAATGTTTTTTGATCTAGCAAGAGAAAAATTTCATGCTTTTTTTTGTTTTATGCAAAAATTACTGATTTTCCTTAGTTTGTGTTTCATTTTAAGTAGGTTTAGTTTCAAGCTCGATTTGATTGTTTGGTAATAATTCGCACAGTGAACTATTTACCACATCATTTAATCCGTCTTAATCCCTCGCACCCGGTTATCTTGAAATTTTTTTTTTACATGAGAGTCTGTTTAACTGACTATATGTATGATATGAACCTTAACTGGATTTCCGCTGTTGCCATCCCTTTTTTGAAATCTATCAGGTTTGGCGCTGTTGTTCAACAACAAGTTGGCGAGGATGTCGTTAACGAAACAAAAGCGTCCTCGTAATTTGCTCGAATATTTGAAATTGTTACGAAACACTTATCTTCTTGTTTTCACTTCAAATTTTTTTGGCTATCAGAGCAGAAAAACATTTCTGTTGATATCAATTAATGGCACGTTGATAGAGCGCAACTGACCCCAGCGGGAAAGAGCAGATCTTACTTGACCCTGGCCGGTCCCAGTCCCTCGCGTCTGTTGTGTTGCATTCGAGGGTTACTCTTGAACAATTTTCTAGAAATGGCAAGTTAAACTTTATTACTTTGTCATTAAAAATAGCGGCAACCCACCAAGTAAGGACACTTAGGTATGGACTGACACAAAACTAAAATAAAAGGGGTAATTAAATAAAAAAAAAACAGTTTTAAAAAATTCAGAAGTACAAAATTCCATCACACGAGGCCCTTTGCTGTATAGATGTATCCGATTGCACTAACTGTTAATAAAAATTATGAGCCGCACAGGACGCAATTTTTTACCGTTATCTGGTAACATTACATGTATCTGGACTAGATCTTGTTTTCTGTTAGACTTGGCAAAAACATCCAAAGTCTGTTGATATCTCACTTTTGCATGGACTTTGGTCCCAGATACCTCTCTGGATGCTTCTGAAAATGTGTAGCGTATACTCCAGGGATTATAAAAATCCCTTCGTTTTTTACAATATAATAAGTAGTATTATGAAAAAAATAATTATAATAAATAAATCTGGGCATAGGTCGCTTTTGACCTTAAAAAAAAATTGATGTTGCTATAAATACCAATTAAATCCGATACTGACATGGGTTTCAATGGAAACGGATTGCAGTATTGATGTTCCAGTTGAATTTAGGCTGTGACGCGTCGATAGGCTTAGGAATGGTGCTCTTAGATCCCTTTGTCTTGCAAATTTGAGCGTTTTCTTATTTAAACTGATTGCCAGTAGTCATGTTTCTAATTGAGTAAGAGAAAGAAAGCATTTCATTTTCTGGCAAAGCAATGATTTGGCATTTCTTTTCAGTGCACCGTGCACGTGATCAAGCATAGGCTGTGTGAGGGAATTTCTGATTTGCTTTAAGTGACGTAATGAAAACTCGATACGTGTCTAAAATTTGGCAATTTGCAAAGTCTAGCTTTCATCGTCAATGACCCTTAACAAACAATTGTCAGACTATCTCAGGTAAGCTGTCTTTTATCGTACGCATATTCTTTATTCACTGCTTCGTGTTAACATCAACCATCAAAACCCACTTCCCGCTGTTTAAACTGTTTTGATCTACGTTGTGTGTGGGAGTCAATTTAGTAGACGGGTGGCTCTCCCTCGGCCCGAATTTGCTCTCATCTGATAGAGCAGCATCGAGGGCGACCGGCAAGTTCTGCTATCATTATCTTGGAATTTGATTTCGTAGTGGTCTCGAACCTTGAGTTTTTCCTTCTAAATTTGGAAACCCCTTCGTGACTTTATTGTTAGTCACGCAACACTCCATTGTTCATGATAAACAATACCCAAATTTTCCTCATAGGAATCTTGGAAGAACGACAAGAGGACTGAAAGACTTCTGCTCATGCCTTTCCTTTATGTTTAAGTATGAATTATCCATATTTGGGCTGCCTTTCACTAGAATATCCTGCTTCCTCGATTAAATCTATAAATTTAATTTACAATCATAACGTGTTTTCGTGGTCTGCGCATGTGGAGGAAAGCATTTCCGAAAAGAGTTTTCCATAATCTGTGCAAAGGTCGTAAAAGAACTTTTAAAGCATGTTCCAGACTTGATCTGTCTGAAAACACTATTCCAGTGATCAACACATCTTAATTGGTCGAGACAACAATTCCTCTCTTGAGAAACAAATCTCGATTGGAGATAATTCTATACGCTTGGCACCATCTTTGGTATTGTCATTGAGTGCTCTGTCAGCCCGAAAAATGTAGATTTGAAACAGAGATGAGAACTTATGGACTTAAGATTTTTGCCACGTAGAGTGGAAAAGCTTACGCCGATGAAATTTCCAGTTCATAAGGTAATACTTGTAACTCAGCTACAAGAAGCTACTTCATATCGTGACAACTGACTAGTGCAATTAATCTGTCTGAGTATATTTCCGCTTAGCGATGCATTTTAGCGAAAGAGGCCGACGAATTCGAAACTTCACACAACCTTAGAATTCTGTGAATGAGATAATCAGTAAACAGCTTATTTCTTGTTTTTGCGTTTGTTTATCAGATGATAATAAGTTTTATTTTTAACTATGCTTAAAATCAGAGTATACCCATTTATTTCGTATTTCAGCCCAACCAATTACAATCAATTTTGCCTCGAAGGTCCCTTTGTTGTGTTCATATGCAATATTTGGATCTATATATGCCTAACGTGAGAGGGTAAATGCTTGGTCTAAAATCAACCTATATGGCAACTCATGAAACGTCCGCCCCGTTAGCCGTTACACTTCATCTGTTAGGTGGCATTGCAACCATTAGTAACTTTTGTGTGTGTGTGTGTGTGTGTGATGATAGAATTGACCAAATAAGTAAATTTTAAGCAGATGTTTCCCCTCCCCTCAAATCATCGCTGATATAGGTTTTTTTTTATGTCCAATCCGAAAGCAGTCGCTCCAAAGGTTGACCTCAACCCAAATAGCCGACTCGATAGTCATTCGAATCACTGCTATAGCCTTAAGGAAACTCAAGCCTGTGAGACTCTTAAGAAGTGATCAACATTTATCTTCTCCCTAAAATTTCTATTCATCATCCAGCAAACTGATAATGAGAACAGACAGATAAATCAGCAAGAAAAAGCTATCTTGATGTAACGTGAAAATTTCATCCACTCGATAACTTAAATTTCTATCAGGTGGGTAGGGGGTGTTTTTCTAATTATTTCAGCCATTTATTTTGTTTTACTCAATCTCATCCCATTTCATGTCACTGATGTTATTCCCTTTGTTTCATTTTCACTCAGTTTATCGCATCTCGTCACGTTCTCTCTCATTTCGTTTCATTTATTTTATTTCGTCTCATTTCGTCCCACTTTCATTCATTCCATTCCTTTCATTATTCCCTTCGACCCCATTTCAGTTCTTCTTTTTCGTAGCATTTTATGTTATTTAATTTTTTTTAATTAGATTATCATTTTAGAAAGTGCTGCTTGGGAGCTGAACGATATTTTGTTTTAAAAATAGCGCAGTCAGTAAATCTACACAGTTGTTTACACGGTACCTTGTTCGATTTCCATACTGATATCAATGCCCTTGATCTTAGTAAAACTCTTTGAATTTATCTTTAGGATTTGTGCAGCCGTCAGAACTGTACTAGCATTTGGAGGTGAAGAAGTTGCCAAGTAGGTGAGTACCTTTCTTTTCATAGCTACGAAAGGCCACGACGTGTTGAATTGTTTCTGAGTCGCTGAAAATTGCGGTGAAATGGAAGACAAATTTGTAGGAAACCTCGAGCTCGCTAAATGTCAAAGACAAAATATTTATGCGTTATTAACCAAGCATGAGGTCAAGATGGCTGGATATTGGCCGTGTTCTTTATTTTTTTGTATTTTTAAGGACCAAGACGAAGTCGAGGTGCATAAAAATGTGAAAAAAGAACGAGGCTAATATCCAGTCAGCTTGACCGAACGAGCTTGCATGGTTACGCATAAAAGATTTATTATATTGCAAAAAGATTTGACTGTTTACTTCGAGAGCCGGGAAAGAAAGTCATCTGTTACGATGGATATATGAAGTTCATATATTTTGAACTGCGGTTATAGATACGAATAATGCACGATCCTCGCAGTAGAGAGCGCTATTTATGCAATAGCGAAAATCAGACCTGGAAAAATCAGGCCTGTACGGGATTGCATAAATAGCGCTCTCTACTGCGAGGATCGTGCATCATACGTAAAGTCATCTGTGTTTGTAGCGCAACAAACTCGCGAGAGTCGTTTCTGTTTTCTTTGTTTTGATTATCTTCTGCCAGTTTTTGCGTTTCCATCGCCGAAATTGTCCAAGAATTACGAAAGTAGTTCTAATTCTATTTTTTTCATGCGCGGGATCAATGCGGGCAATCCCGAGCGGGCAAGATGGGCCCATCTTGCCTGCTCGGGTAGCCAATCAGAACTCAGGATTCGCTTCATCTTGCCCACGACTGCTGCGAGCGATGTAGAAATAAACCGTCTGAGAAACTATCAACATATAGAAAAGATCATAACACTGATCGAAAAAGAATGATTTTAGTCTCAAATGTTAAGAATAATCGTAGGGTAGAAGAGGAAATTTGAAGATTTTGTGTACGATTTTTTTAACGGATAATGTAAAAGCCATGATTTACCAGATTCAGATTTATTGAAAAGATGGAATTTTACTCGTCGTCATCCCATTTCCTTGATAAATACAGATATTCGTTAGAAAGTCCTTGTAGTAAAACTTCCTGTCACGCAACACTGTGACTGTTGATTGTTGATTATTGATTAGGAAACTTTGCCCAAAGGAAGTATGCCCAGTCAGTGCGCAAGAAAACGTGGACTCGCCTTTGAGCAATACCTCAAAGTTAATTACAAAATTGGATTACTTTTGCGCGATGACTGGTTCATAAATGAATCTTGCTTCAAAACAATACCTCCTGCAACCGATGCCGAAAATTAACGAGGACACTTCAAATATCTCTACTTGTGTAAATGATTTCAGGGACATCTTGAGCTTTTCGCAAACTGAAAGAATAATTCATGGGTCACGTATATTTCAGGAGGCAAATCATGCCTAACGCTGGTTCATAAATACATAAATGACGCTAACCTTTCTGTAAAGCTCACGCGTCACCTGTTAATTTTGACCTGATGACGCGTCACGTGTAAACCCTTTGCACATCCTCCTAACAGTTATCCTGGTGTTGC